CCCTCTGAGCATCTTCGTAGCCTCCCTCCGGACTTGCTCCAACAGATCCATGTCCCTCTTATATTGAGGGACCCACAGCTGGATGCAGCACTCCAGGTGGGGCCTCACCAGAGCAGAGTACAGGGGCAGAATCCCCTCCCCAGACCTGCTGGCCACACTGCTCTGGATACAGCCCAGGATACGGTTGGCTTTCTGGGCTGCCAGCGCACACGGCCGGCTCATGTTCAGCTTTTCATCCCCCAGTACCCCCAAGTCCTTTTCCTCAGGGCTGCTCTTGATCCATTCTCCACCCAGCCTGTACTTGTGCTTGGGATTGCCCTGAATTCCTATGAATTAATATTCGTATGTATGGGTTTTGAAATAAAATATTATTGGGTAATGTGGAAGCAGAGAAATGGTTAGACACAGGGACTTCTTCAGCCAGCATTTTGTCAGTGACATTTGCTAGTCAAACAGCCCGTGTTGTATCTCTGCTCCTGTATCTCGTCTCTTGAAGGGAAGAAATACCCGTTTCCATCTTGTTTCTTCCAGTGCCAAAATGTCATTTTCTTCTTTCAGGGCACTTCATTGCTGACAGACAGCAACAGGCTCCATCAGGGGAAGGAAGGAACAACATATTTCTTAATCGTGGACAACGCTGTCACGGAAGATGGTGGCGTTTACACCTGTGTTGCCAAAAACGCAGGAGGGGAGGTTTTGTGCAAAGCAGAGCTTATTGTCCATGAAGGTAAGGTCCTTCTTTCAGCTGCAGGAGCTGCTTCCATAGCCACTGCAACATGTACACTGTCGGCTTTCTTCTGCTACCCATACGGCATCTGCTCTGTATTCCTGCACAGCACTTGTGTCCGTTACCAGTATGGCAGGATCCAGCATAACAGCAAATGATCTAATCATGTACATATTTATATAAAAATGAGTTGGTTTGTTTTTTTTTTTTCTCTGCTTCAGGTACATGACAAATTGATACAACAGGCCACAGAACTAAGTGGTGCCATGCCTGCTCTTTAGCCTGGCTCTTCTGATTTATGTCAGCCCCAAATGATAGAATCATAGATTCATAGAATGGTTTGGGTTGGAAGGGACCTTAAAGATCATCTAGTTCCAACCCCCCTGCCATGGGCAGGGACAGCTTCCACTAGACCAGGTTGCTCCAAGCCTCATCCAGCCTGGCCTTGGACACTTCCAGGGATGGGGCATCCACAGCTTCTCTGGGCAACCTGTCCCAGTGTCTCACCAAGTTGCCCAGAGAAGCTGTGGATGATGCAGCCCCAGTGTTTATATTGACAGGTTCTGTCATCAAACAGCTCCACTTAATTCTGTGCAGAAGTTTAGAGAACGCCTGTAGCTTTTCCTGCCTTAAATTGTCCTGTAATAACTTTGCATGTTCTTGGCAAGGCATTGTTGTTTGAATATTAACACTTGTAATTTCCTTCATTTCCAAAGCTAAGAAAGACCAAGCAGCAAAGAAAGTGGCCACCAGGAGAAAGCTCCATTCCCTTTATGAGGTTAAGCAGGAGATTGGAAGGTAAATGAATTTTCCAACTACAGCATCGCTGCCCAAGGATGTAATTGCCCATCTGAGCTCCTGAGCATGTGTAACCAGAGACAGAGGTGGTGGGCTCAGCTGTGGCAAAGTCTGAAAAGGTGAAAGGAGTGGGAGGTCACCCCATTGCAGGTGTGCTGGAAACACTTTCCTGAGGTTTCTGACAAAGGATGGGAGAGTCCATACGTCCAGGTAGCTCCAACCATAAAAAATACCAGCCAGAGGCTGGCAGGAAGGGTGCCCAGATGTGGCTTCCTGGCACGTTAGCATCACAAGCCCACAGGGACATATGCACCAACACAGTGTCCATCCAAGGGACCCAGGAGCATCCCCCTTTGTCAGCACAAGGCTCTATCGCCTGAAACAGCTTTTCCCTTGTCGTGAACTCGTTGCTTAGTTTTGGAGACAGCCAGAAGAGGGCAGTAGCCCCTCACAGAGAGGAAAGTGAGCCTTCTGTGGTGGAGAATTAAAGCCCTGAGCTGCAGGGAGCTGTCAAAGGCTGGGATGTGGAAAGGTCTGCACTTGCTGAGCAGAGGGATTTTGAACCAAGTCTGAGCAGGGCTTGTCCTGTGATTTTTACACAGGGGCTGCTTCAGCTTTGTGAAACGAGTCGTGCACAAAGGGAACCGAGTGTCTTGTGCTGCCAAGTTCATACCTTTACGAAGCAAAACGAAGGCTCGAGCGCATCAAGAGAGGGATATCCTTGCCTCTCTGTCCCACGACAGAATTACCAGGCTCCTGGATCAGTTTGAAACGCGGAAAACACTGATTTTGGTCCTGGAGTTGTATCCTTTTCTGTGCTACTTGTCTGAGGAGGCTGGGAAGTACTAGGTAGTGCACATTTATGAAATAACTAAGCAATTAATCATTTTTAGGTCGTGCCTGAGATAAAAGGACACACGCAATCTTTCTCTGCACTGCAGGACAGCACTGAGAGGTCTTCGCTGAAGTACTATGTTCCTGCTGGTTTAGGAAAAAACATGATACCTGTATACACACGTGTGCTTGTTAAGCACCAGAACCCTTTTCTGAAATGTCTGGGAGTGGGGAACTCTGTTTCCATGAGATCCAGTCTGGGTGAGGACAAGGAAAACGCAGTGCAGAGCAGAAAAGCCCATAGCCAACAGGTAGATTGTAGCACAAGCGATACCGTAGTCCTGCTTGTAGGGATCAGAGGTTTAGAGCTGCCCCATTCTGCAAGAAGGACACTGCTGGAATAGAGACTTTAACCAATTACGTGCTTATCACATTGCCTGAGATCACCTCGTGAATTCTGCTGCTAGCTGGACAGAGGTGGTTACAAAGAAAAACTAAGCATTTAACTGTAGTTCTGTTTTCCCTGAATGCCATTGTCAGATGCTCCAGCGAAGAGCTCCTTGACCGTTTACTCAAGAAGAGTGTCGTCACTGAAGCAGAGGTAATCTTTCGTTCTCATTTGAAAGTCCAGAGCTGGTAGGTTGCCACCGAGTACCTTCCAGCTGCATTTCCCTTTTTGAACATGAGGAATGTCTTTGAACCAGTGGTAATCAGCCAAAACAGAATCAGCCTTTAAAATGTGTTCCCATCAGCTTTCATGACTAAGATGAGTTTCTTTGGGGTATAACTAGAAACAGCCAGTGTGTTTGAGACCACCAGCATTGCAGTCAGCTTGGTGCAGATGATATTTGCTCTATTATCATCATTTCTTTTTTATCTGTCACCCGGAACTCCTCTATCTTCACTTCCTTAATAACATTTTATCCCCTTGCAACTACAGTTCTCTCTGCTCCCTTTCAGTCTCCAAACCAAGGGCTGAAATTATGGTTTCTAAGGGATTTTTTTTTTTTTTGAGATTGTTGATGCTCAAAGTTCAGAATGTTTCACATCTCCCATCTAGTAGTGAGGTGTCCCATATTTATTGGTAAAATTGATTTTTCTTAGAAAAGGTCAATGGGAAATACCATAGAATCATGGAAGAGGGAAATATAGAACGGTTTGGGTTGGAAGGGACCTTTAAAGATCAAATGTCAGCTAACACTATAAAAAAGTGTCAGGGGTAGAGGACTTACAAAACTGAAGCTATGTGTAAATTTTCACTCCTTGTTCAGTCACAGTCAGATTAAATCTACATATGGTCAAGAAAACAGGTTTACAACATATTTTTAAAATGTATTTTGCTTTAAATGTGTTTGCCTGATTTACACCAAGCCAGAGCTGAGTTGGAGTTAGATAAGTTAGTTGATAAGCTTCATCAACTTGAGGATTTCTGGTTTTTTGCATGTTTGTAGGGTTTTTTCTTTTTAATGTAAGTGCCTTTTTCACATATAAAAGGCTCCAGCAGAGCAACGTGGTCACACATTTTCATTTACACAATCACAGAATCACTGAGGTTGTAAAAGACCTCCAAGATCATCTAGTCCAACCATCAACCCCACACTACTGTACCCACTAGACCCTGTCCTCAAGTGCCACGTCTACACGCTCCTTGAACACCCCCAGGGATGTGCCACGTCTACACGCTCCTTGAACACCCCCAGGGATGGTGACTCCACCACGTCCCTGGGCAGCCCCTTCCAGTGCCTGACCACTCTTTGAGTGAAGGAGTTTTTCCTATTATCTAATCTGAACCTCCCCTGACACAACTTGAGGCCATTTCCTCTTGTCCCGTCACCAGTTACCAGGGAGAACAGGCCAGCACCCACCTCCCGACACCCTCCTTTCAGGGAGCTGTAGAGAGCCATCAGGTCTGCCCTCAGCCTCCTCATCTTTAGGCTAATTCCTCAGGTTAATGTTTGGTTCACATAGTTCATTCTAGTTTTAAAAGTACTTCTAGTTCAATCTCCCCCTCTCTCGTATATTAAAAATGTTGGTGGAATTGGGGACCCTTTTATTTACTATTAATGTTTAATAATTGATTTAATTTTTAGGTCAAATTGTATATCAAGCAGATTTTGGAAGGAATCAAGTATCTTCATGACAATAATGTCCTTCATCTGGACATTAAGGTAATGTGCAATGGCAGGTCTTGTCATAGCCTCTTGTTGGTCAGGGAATGGGCATTCTCTATTCAAATTATTCTTACTTACAACTGAAAATACTGCCTGCTTTCAAGAAAAGTTTCTCTCTTTCATTTTATTTCATTTACCAGCCGCTGAATATCCTCATGGTTTATCCTGAAAGGGAAGACCTTAAGCTCTGTGACTTCGGATTTGCTCAGAAGATCACGCCCTTTGAGCCTCAGTTCAGCAAATACGGGTCTCCGGAGTTTGTTGCCCCAGAAATTGTTTCTCAGTCACCAGTGTCAACAGCAACCGACATCTGGTAACCTGCCATCTTTCTAAAAAGCTTTTACCCTAGACGACCTCAATTTCCATTCACTGTTAATAAGTAAATGGGGGAGGGGTAACAACACAGCAAACTGAGAGTGAACACTGAGAATCCAAAACCTATCAGGGCTCTTTAAAGCTCCTTCTGCCTATTTTGTTGAAGCATAATTGAACTCTGACAGCTAATTAATGCAAAGGAGCATCTTGGAGAAGATGATCTTTAATATTAGAGAGACCAGCTAGAGAGGATGCTTCTAAGAGGCTTTCTAGAAAAGGCAAACAAACTCAATAAAAGTATTTTGAGTCTTCTCCTCTCTCCATGCTTTACAAATGGAGGATTACTTGAGAACAATTTTTTTAAAAATTTTGCAGGAGGAAAAAAATGAAGGGTGAAAACAATAACTTTTGGGATTTATTTTCCTTAGAAAGGTGAGGAGAATAGGGTGAGCTTACTGTGCCAGGGTGTCTAGTGGCGGGAAGAGGGGCTGTGAGCTTGAGAAGCGTGGAGAAATAGGGATGAACACCTGACATTTGTGTTCCCTCTCTCCTCAGGGCTGTTGGTGTCATCACGTATTTAAGGTAAATGAATCCTCCTGGAAAGACTCATTCCATAACCCTTTGTCAGTCAGAGCCTTCCAGTACCTTCAAGTGAGGGATGTGAGCGAAGCTCTGAGTCTACAACGAGAACCATTTCTTTTGTGGTTTTCTCCTTCACTCGATCTTTTCTGGTCGCCCAGGGCTTTGGTCCTCGTCCCTGCTTGACGACCTGAGCGCTGCTCTCCTTGCAGGCAGCGATGAGAGCAGTGGGTGAGGTTCAGTCTTCCCCTTGCCTATTCCAGCCAACACCCGGCTGTAGCTGTGCCAGGTCAAACCCTTAATTCCTGATCTGTGCAGCAGGGGTAAGTCAGTCCGTTAAGTGCCGTGTGATGCTGGGGTGAAAGATGCCCTGTGCGTGGATGTACTGCTCACAAGCACTGCAAGTCCCACGCGTGGAGTCTCTCAAGCATTTGAAAGCCCCGTGTAAGCATTTGTCCTGTCATCTGAACAGCAAATAAAACTCTAACGTCTGTCTCCTTCTATTTTATGGTGCTCAACCAATCAGCCTAACGTGCAAGTCTCCATTTGCTGGGGAGAACGACAGAGGAACCCTTCTAAATATCCAGAATGGGGAAATTTCATGGACCGTTCCTGATTTTGTTCACTTGAGTGAAGATGCAAAGGACTTCATGAAAGGGATCCTGCAGCAGCGCCCCAAGTGAGTGCATTTTTGTGCTTCCTACAGCCAGCATGCAAAGGCGTTGGTGTCTCAGCGGGCAGATCTCAGCTCGTCAGAGCTGCGGTGGTTTTGAAGAGTAGAAAGCTGAGTGAGATGTGGTGCGTTATACCCTAATTTCTTATTATTCCCCATTACCCAAAACTCAGCTTGGAAATTTGCCAAATTGGCCTGTTTCTGGTATAGTGATGTCCTTAATCCCTGACTCCTCCGGGCAGGTGAGTTTCTGAGATGTCATAGAGAAGTGGGAAGAGCAACCACTGGTATAGAAGGAGTTACGTGAGAATTAAATATTAACCACATTCATTAGGCAATTTCAAGTATAAAAGGTGGCTTGAAGGCATGTTTGCAGACAGTTTCATTTCTATTTTTCTGTCAAAATAGCTGCCAAAGCTATTTTTCGTCTGGCCACCTGAAGAGTCAAAGTCACTTCTAGGGCTGCTCTCGACATCCCTCAACAGGCTCCCAGCAGAGTGCCATGGGGTCTTCCTGAGGACCTGCAGGGAGTCTCAGACCGAAAAAGGAGGATACGCCAGCAGTGTGCGCTGGCAGCCCAGAAGGCCAACCGTATCCTGGGCTGGATCCAGAGCAGTGTGGCCAGCGGGTCGAGGGAGGGGATTCTCCCCCTCTGCTCTGTTCTTGTGAGACCCCACCTGGAGTGCTGCGTCCAGCTCTGGGGCCCTCAACATCAGAAGGACACAGAGCTGTTGGAGCGAGTCCAGAGGAGGCCCCGGAGATGCTCCGAGGGCTGGAGCCCCTCCACCATGGGGGACAGGCTGAGAGAGTTGGGCTTGTTCAGCCTGGAGAAGAGAAGGCTCCGGGGAGACCTTATAGCACCTTCCAGTACCTGAAGAGGCTACAGGGAAGCTGGGGGGGACTTTTTACAAAGGTCTGTAGTGACAGGACAAGGGGGAATGGGGTTTAATTGAAAGTGGGGAGGTTTAGATTAGATATCAGGAAGAAGTGCTTCCTGGAGAGGGTGGGGAGGCACTGGGACAGGTTGCCCAGAGAAGCTGTGGATGCCCCATCCCTGGAAGTGTTCAAGGCCAGGCTGGATGAGGCTTTGAGCAACCTGGTCTAGTGGAAGGTGTCCCTGCCCATGGCAGGGGGGTTGGAACTGGGTGATCTTTAAGGTCCCTTCCAACCCAAACCATTCCCAGATTCTATGATCGTTTTGTCTCAAGGGAGGGAAACCTTGGGATGAAAGCCCCTGTCTGTCTGTTTGGCTTCTGAGCTCTAAAATAGCACCCCCCCACAAAACTCTATGCATGTGTCCATGTGAAGCAGGCACCTTCAGGAAGATCTTGTGGTTGCTGTTGGCAATGACGTGCTGCTAAAATGCCAATCTTTTCTCTTATCAGAGCCAGGCCTAGTGCTTTGGACTGTCTTTCCCACAAGTGGTTCATGGTAAGTTTGTCCCGATTCTTTCTTAGAATAATTAAAAATGTTGAGCCTGGAGGAGACCTTTGGAGAGGCAGCTCTTAAAGCTGCTAGATGTTATATACTGGATTAATCTTTCTCTTGGTGTCCTACTCTCTGTCCCACAGAGAAGCTCAGGCATGGCTCTCCAGAAAGAAGAGACACATTGGTGTTTACATGCCAAGATATCTTCCCTTTCAAAAGATAACGATTACTGCTGACATGAGTAGATATAACATGTTCATATAGAAAAGAAACTGGCTTTGCAGAGCAAATTTATGGTTTATATTCCAATGCCTTAAATCTCCTAAGGAGGAGAGCTGAAAGTTTACAAAAAAAAAGAAATATATGACATGCATCGAACAGGGCTTGCTTCTGTCACTGAAAAGCTGAGATTGTCTACCATTTAGCCATGACGGGATTGTAGCACTTCGTCTGTTTTAACTTTCTTAAATTTAACAATTCTGAAAGGAGGGAATCATAAAAAAAAAAAAAAAACAACTTTGCAGGAAATGAAGTCAGGGTATTTTAACCAATGTTTTGTCTCTCATTCCTCCTGGCAGCATAATCTCCCCCTCGAATCAGCTCATTTCATTAACACCAAGCAGCTCAAATTCATTGTGGCTCGGAGCAAGTGGCAGGTGAGCTGGCCTTCATCCATGCTACTTCTTTTTTATTATATATAGTTTGAATTACTCTTGTATCTTTTCAAGTCTGTTGAGCACAGCAGAGATCTCAGCTCGGCTATGAATGGGGAATAAGCCCAGGAGAGAGTGGTGGATGGCTGTGGCAGAAATATCTAGGCTTTCACTGCCTGGAAATCATGGAGGTGCCTCCATGGCTGTGTGTAAGTTAGGTACCCTCGGCTGCCTTTGCAAGTGGTACTGAATTATAGACAGGTCCCAGGAAGGTTCCTCTTTCAATCTAAAATGATCAGATGGATTGCCTTCTGAAGATGCCTGTTTCTCTGTCGGCTCTAAGGGCAGGCCGGCTGCTGAACTTCAGCTGAGACGTCTCACGTGGCAGGAGTCAGAGCAGATGAACCCTACCTCCTAGAGTACGCTGGGTCTTCTGTTGGCCTAAGCCACTGCCGGTTGTACTGCAGTCAGTGGATTTAAGGGGTTTCCTCCAGCTAGGCTCTCATCTGATGTGTTCTGCTAGAACCCCCTTCTCCATCTGCTTCGAGTGGCCAGGTTGCCGTTGAAAATCTCAAGCAGGGTCCTGCTTCCCTGTTCACAACAGCAAGTTCGTCCCCTGAAGTCAATGTAGTTTCATCTCTGAATGAGGGAAGAGGAAGGCTTGGGGAGCAGATGGGGCCTGGATTGACGATGTGCACGAACGGGTGGCGATGTATTATCAAACTGTGTGTGGTATTTAGGAGTGCAGAAGTTCATTTTGCTACGCTTGCTTTACTGTACTCCCAACGTGTTTCCATCTGATTGTGCTGTATTTTGGTTTGATTTTCAGCGGTCTCTGATGTGCTATAAATCCATACTGGTGATGAGGTCTATCCCAGAAATCCTAGAAAGGACTCACGACAACACCTCCCTGGCCATCTCCCGACACCTTATCGAAGAAAGCACGTCGTCCAGTACCAGCGGCTCCTCTTCAGACAATGAGAACTCGCATTTCCCCAAGAAGAGGCACTTCGGCTCTACACCCGAACTGCACTTGTCCATATTTGACGCACCAAGCCATCAAGAGCCTCCAAAACATGCAGGTGAAGAGAAGCACTCGAAAATCTCCATCCCTCCAATAAAACCCATGAGGAGGAAGTACACTTCAGTGAAGGCTGAGGTGGGGGACATATCACCTACAGAAAGCAAAGAGGTCATGGAAAGTATCTTGAAGGAGAAAGAGGAGGGGCTCCATGCCAGACTTGGCGACGAAAGAGCAGAGCATTCCCAAAGCGGTGCCTCTGAGCCTTCCTCAGCGAGGACTTCCACAGAAACCACGTCGCATCTGTGTCAGAAAGGAAAACCAGACATATTTTTATCTGACAAGGACAGAACTGAGAAGGCTGGGGATGGGACAGAAAAGCCAACTGTCTGTGTTCCTAGACAGAGCGTCATTAAAAGCACTTTCTACAGCCAAGCAGCTGAGCTACCTGCAAGGGGGCCTTCCTCACCAGGCAGGGAGTTCAGAAGGCACCTGGACAGGGCCAGAAGGACTTTCCGGAAAGCTGGATATTCAAAGGTGCCCCTCAGCGGTCTCCGTGAACCCCTTCTAGAGCAGTTCGAACTGGAAGAAGAAGAAGGAAGGTCTGACGATGGAGATGATCACAGGGAAAGCCTGCTTGGTTCCTTGACCAAATCAGCTTCGTTTGACACTGCGAGGAAACCACCACATCCTGCCATTGCTGGTGCCAGCCGAAGCCGTTCCCTGGATGACTACAGGCTGAGGGCCTCAAGATCAGTGAGGGAACAAGATATTTTGGAAGAAGACTGTGATATATTGTCACAGGAAAGTTGCCCTGAAGGCAGCGACCACTGCGACATTTCTGCAGGGCCTGGCAAGGGGTGTTCTGTAGGCAGGTCAAAGCAAGAGGGCTTCAGGACACCCAGCAAGGATTGTTCAGAAGACCAGCCCCCTCCTTCCACACAGTGTGAGGGTAACGGGTGCGCGGCTGTTTTGGGGCAACAGCTAGAGAGACCTCCAGTGTCACCTCATGGGAGTGAGGAGAAGGAACATTTACCGAAGAAGTTAAAAGCTACTCACACTGAGGAGGAAGCTGAAGGTTTGAAAGGCAAAAGCCTGGTTCTAACTGCCCAGTGCTCAGATGTACCTGCATCATCAGCTCAAGACCAGGAAGGCGTGGAGGGTAAACCTTCCCCTGGCAGTGCCTCTGACGCTGTTCAGGGGGGCAAACAGTCCGTTTCAGCTCTCATGCAGTCAGGTGCCACCGCCAAGTCAGCCCCTACAAGCAAGGGAGGCGTGTGTCTGTCCCAGGAGCCTGCTCACGGCGCCGACATCCATCCAGATCTGAAAGAGGGAAGCTTGCTTATCAAAAGGACAGCCCCAGTTCCACCCTGGAAAGACAAACGGCAAAAACATTCCCCTGAGAAGACTTCTGCTCACAGTGTTGCTAAATGTGATCTCATGGAGCAAGACAGCGCTGCTGTTTTCACACGCCCAGAAACAGACACTGATTCACTTCCACTACGTAAAGGCAAAAGTCAGGAACTGCCTGGTCAAAGTGCTTCAGCAACTACTGTCTTGGTGGGCAAACAGCCAGGGACCCTAAATGCTCTGCACGCAGCCAACGAAGGTGTTCAGCCGAAGCTGAAGACCTGCAAAGAGGGTAGACCTGCTGTCCTGGAGGATGAAGTACCAGGTACTGAAGGAATCACCCCACTGTCAGCCCGTGATGGTGAAACCCAAGCGCACAAGAGGGCTCCTGTTCACACAGACACAGCATCAGCCATCCTGAAGGGTGAGCACCGCCTTGTTCCGAAAGTCCCACCACCAAAATCAGTGCCAGCCTCGGTCTCTGATGGAGTGCGGCAGGCTGAAAGGGAACAGCGAGCGCACAGCAAGGAGAGGCTCGCTGCTCTGAGGAGCAAAAGCTCGGCTGTCCCAGTGGTTGGTCCCGATTTGGCCCATGAGGCTGAAATCCAGGGAGCTGAACCCCAGGTTTCTGAAGGCAGTGGCGCGGTGCCTGCTGTCCTGGAGAGCAGACACCCAGCTAGACCTGTGTCCTCCCAAAATACTGGCCTCCCTTTGGTCTGTGAGAGTGAAAAGCAAGCACACCCGAAGGCATCGCTTCGCAGCGAGGTGAGATCTGTTGGGATGGCAAGTGGAAGCCGAGCCGCTGGACAGACTGTGCGCACTCCTTTCCCCAAGGCTGGACACTGGGGGTCTGAGCCGCACAGGGATGCCTATCCCAGCGGCAGAGGTTCTGGGGATCTGGAGGGTGGGCCTCCGGGTGTCTTCACTGCTTCACAACCGCAAGTTGCTCCAGCTTCAGCCCGTGGGCTAGAATATGAGGAACATCCAAAGGTTTATGGTGAGGGTAAAGGTGTTGCCTTAGAAAGCGGAAGCTGTGGTGATGGAAAAACTGCCCCACGGTCACTCAGCAAGGATCAAAGTCAGGAGGTCTCACATCACAGGTCATCTTTTTACAGCGATGAGGAGTCTGCTGTGCTGGAGGGCTTAGTGGATGAGATGGTTTCCCTCTCTGAAGAGATTAATGTTTGGGCAGAGTCAGTTTCTGGTGAGAAGGAATGCAGGAAGCACACCTCCCCTCCCACAGACATGTTCTACAAAGGCCCAGGTAGCCAAGCCCCCACAGACACCTCCTTCCCTTCTGTACCAGGGGGTAAAAGAGGAGAAGCCTCTGAGCGGGATGACCTTGCCGAACCCTCTCTTGTCGTGAGTGAGGAGTCAGTGGTGCAGGAAGGGCAGGGAGCACAGACGCTTCCCTGTGAATGTGAGCATCTGGAGGACTTAGCGTTCGAGAGCCTCACTTCTAGCCAAGTGAGTGTTTCCTCAACAGAGAGCGTGGACACTGGAAAGAGACCCAGCCAAGTGCCAGTGAGCAAGGACACTGGGAAACACCCGGAAGTTTCTTTGGTGAAAATCAAAGACCTGTCGGACGAAACACCCAGCCTTGGCAGTGGAACTCCAAAACTAGACATATCGGAGGTAGAGCCTGCCTATTTGAATTTCTCGGATTTGTATGACATTGTCTATTTTCCATTTGAATTTATGAACTATAGGAAGCCTCCACCCAAACCGACTGGTAGACGGTTTATACCTTTTGGTGAGAGGGCAAGGTCGCCTCCTGTGGGACATTTGCATAAGGATAAAAGACTGTGCATTAGGGAAGAGGCAGAGAGCAAGAACAAGAAGAATCATTTGGAAATATCTGAGGATTCAAAGGCAGCTAACTTACTAGCCATAGGGAAAGGGTCAGAGAGTCATAAAGAAATGTATGGCCCCCAAAAGGACTCAAGTGGTAAGCAGAAAAGCTCCTTCTACAACAAGCCAGGACTCTTTAAGCCATATGCAAGGTCTCATTCAGCGGAGCAGTCAGTGGAGCAGAGTCTGAAGAAGAAAGTAAAAGCTTCTGTTGCCCATATTTCAAGAATCCTAAAAGGAAAGACATCTCCTGAGCCAGAGGCAGAGGAAGGTAAGCATTTTACTCTGTGCCATCATAGATTTGCTGCTATAGCTGGGTTCTGTTAAATCTGCCTTTTCCTTTCTCCCCAGCATATCTGAGGATGTGGTTAGACCATTTTAAAACGGGCAGGGGCAGGTTATGAAATTAGCAGACTCCAGCCTCACCACCAGCTCTCTGGTACTGACTCATTCAGTGCAGAGTCAGCTGGGTTAATCTGCTGAATTCCCCTGTCTGAGTTTGCACAAAACCAGATCAGGGCTGGGTGGTTCTTCCCTTGCTGCAGTTTATTCTGTAGTTATCACCTGACCACTAGAAACCTTTAAAGCCAAAGTGGCTGGGAGAATTGATGAAGTCACCTTGGCTACCTAAGTTGATGACACAGGACAGTGGAATCTGTCCTTTCTTCTGAGCCATCCCCAGATACGCCCTGTTCTTCCAGGACATCATTCCATTTGTAATAGCTGTCACAGCCTTCCCTGCTGACTGAAGGCTCGTTAGTAAGAAAACCTGTGACTGCTGAGCTGTTTATGTCCGAAGGGCAGACCTGTCCCCTGTAAAGGGATGCCACAGGGAGAAGGGTGGCTGCGAATGACTTCTCATCCTTTCTCAAAACAGAGTTTGGTGAGCTGGGAAGCGAGGCAGTAGAAAAAGAGCTGTTGGCAGGGGCTGAAGGATCTCTGAAGAGGAAATCCACACTCTCTTCATTCAAGTTTTCAAGCCTCGTGCCAAGGGACAAAGGTATTGCTATCACATAACCCAGCAGTTAGTTTTATCGTGAAATATCACTGATGAATATGACAGTGTGGTGTGAGGGCAGTTTCTAAGGATGGATCTGCAGTGATTGTCTCGATGACCTGGGCTGTATCCAGAGAAGTGTGGCCAGCAGGTCTGGGGAGGGGATTCTGCCCCTGTACTCTGCTCTGGTGAGACCCCACCTGGAGTGCTGCGTCCAGCTGTGGAGCCCTCAACATCAGAAGGATATAGACCAGTTGGAGCGAGTCCAGAGGAGGCCACGAAGATGATCAGAGGGCTGGAGCACCTCTGCTATGGGGACAGGCGGAGAGAGTTGGGCTTGTTCAGCCTGGAGAAGAGAAGGCTCCGGGGAGACCTTATAGCACCTTCCAGTACCTGAAGGGGGCTACAGGGAAGCTGGGAGAGGACTTTTTACAAGGGCCTGTAGTGACAGGACAAGGGGGAATGGGTATAAATTGAAATCAGAGAGGTTTAGATTAGATATCAGGAAGAAATTCTTCACAGAGAGGGTGGTGAGGCACAGGAACAGGTTGCCCAGAGAAGCTGTGGATGCCCCATCCCTGGATGTCTTCAAGGCCAGGCTGGATGAGGCTTGGAGCAACCTGGTCTAGTGGAAGGTGTCCCTGCCCATGGCAGGGGGGTTGGAACTAGATGATCTTTAAGGTCCCTTCCAACCTTAACCATTCTATGATTCTATGACCTGGACCAACTCATGCACTACGAGCCACCCTCCTCTGTTCAATTCATAACGAAGTCGTTGCTGAAACTGTCTTGCCTTGCATTGCTTGCAAATTGGAGCCATTCTAGAAAGCCACTGCAAAGGAATAAAATCTGTTTGTAAGCTAGAAAGAGAATAAATTCAGTATCCAGGAATGGGATGGCAGAAGCAGGGGACTGTGAATTCCTACGCTGCAGTCCTGCGTGCCTGTGTAAGAGCCAGACGCGCTGCTATAGAGCTGTGAAATGAAAAATGGTGGGGCAGCCCCAAACGGCATGTCAGCAGAGCTGAACCTGCTTTTGCCCAGGCAACTTTCCCCTTGACTCTGGCAGGAGCATTTTCTGAGGTCAGGTTAATGCCCCAGCATTCAGCAGAGCCCAGCCCTGCACTGGCCGGATGTGGGAGGCTGGCACGTCCTGGGCACTGCAAAGATAAAACCCTGGGGAACAGAAGAAAACCTGAGCTCTCCCTTTCCCGTGGAGACAGCAGCAGATTTCACAGATCACAGAATGGTTTGGGTTGGAAGGGACGTTAAGATCATCCAGTTCCAACCCCCCTGCCATGGGCAGGGACACCTTCCACTAGACCAGGTTGCTCCAAGCCTCATCCAGCCTGGCCTTGAACACTTCCAGGGATGGGGCATCCACAGCTTCTGTGGGCAACCTGTCCCAGTGCCTCACCACCCTCTCTGGGAAGAACTTCTTCCTGATATCTAATCTAAACCTCCCCACTTTCAATTTAAACCCGTTACCCCTTGTCCTGTCACTACAGGCCCTTGTAAAAAGTCCCCCCCAGCTTCCCTGTAGCCCCTTCAGGTACTAGAAGGCTGCAATAAGGTCTCCCCGGAGCCTTCTCTTCTCCAGGCTGAACACCCCCAACTCTCCCAGCCTGTCCCCATGACAGAGGGGCTCCAGCCCAGAGATTTTATTTCAATGGGGTTTTTCCTCCTTCTATATCCATCTTGTATCTTTTCTTCTCTCTCCTTCTGTTGTCTTGATCTGATCCCCTCATCCAGATGTTCCCCATGGACCTTCCAAGATCCATCTTATCACGTATGAGCTGTCACGCTGCATCCATGGGGCTAAACAGGGCTCAGTTGGGCAGCTGTGCCCAATGCGATGCGGATTCTCCAACTGGTGGTCAAAGAAATGCCAGAGCATGAACCAGAAATGTTCTTGAACCAATTAAAAATTCATTTCTAATGTCCTGCATGCACTTATTTTCCATATAGCCCTCCTGGCCACTCTAAATCACTGCTTTTCCTCTTCTTTGCAGTGCCTTCGTTCACTGAGGAGCTCATCGATCAGGCTGCTGCTGTCGGACAGTGCGTGACGCTGTCGTGCCGGACAGCCGCTCACTCCTCCCTGCACATCACCTGGTTCAAAGGTGACATTGGCCTCCCCCCAGGGAGTCCCTAATCTCTGGGACAGGGGTGCAGGGAGGGTTTTAGACACCTTGGTGTAAATTTTCAGGGTACTTATGTCTTCTACCTTCTGCTTTTCAGATGGGATACCTGTCCACAGCAGCAGCCGGATCCTCATCTCAACCACTCTCAAAAACTTCCACCTGTTAACTATTCTCTCTGTTAGTGCCGAAGATTTTGGTATTTACACCTGTGTGGCCACAAACTCCCTGGGCTCAGCATCCACCTCTTGCATCATAAGGAAAGCAGGTAAGAGAAGCAGCAGCTACAGAAGTATTACAAGTACTTCCGCCCCAAAATGTGACCTGTAAAGACCTGTGAGGTGGGATTTCTGCAGATAGGTTCAGAGGACAACCTCTCCCTTCCCTGCTGCACGCCACAGCCACAGCCCTTGCTGCCTGGTAGCGTGGCACATTTTCAGGGGTGCGTTCCCTCCTCTCTTTAGTCTCTCTCCTGGATCCACTCCAGAGCCACTCCAGTAACCATGTGGTTCTAGAACCAGACTTCAAAATCTTCATACTGAGTTTAAATTAGGCACAGTTAAATTGCTGTTCCACTTGGGGGGTGTGTATAATATATAAAATAGGTTTATAATATATATAAATACATAAAACGTGTGTATAATATATAAAACATAAGCATATATAAATAATACCTGTAACTGAGAAATGCTGGGTGCAGAGGTGTGTATCGTAGCAGTGCTAACAGTCACTGGGGTTTGTGCCTCCTTTCAGAGGTTCCTCCCAGCCCTCCACCCCCTGACATCGTGGAAGTCTACGAGGATGGAGCGCAGGTGGTCTGGAAACCTGTGGAAACCAACACCCCCGTCCACTACACCGTCCAGTGCAAGAGCGAAGGTAAAGCGGAGCGCTGCCTTTACGCCTTGCAGGGAACGTCTCTGTTAGTGTGATCTCTTCACCAGCTGGGTGTTTCGTTTTTATTCAAAACCAGACTGATTTCAGCTCCCTAGTTCAGAGTTAGGAATGAAATTCATGCAGCCATCATTTAGCCATCTCGAAGTTAGATGTTGTGCTGGCTACATCAGCCTGGAATATGCACACTCATACAGGGGCTTTGCTAAAGCCTGAATCCAACCAGGTTGCGTGGGAGCTGTGACCAAAATCTGGACAGCTGCAGGAGAATAGGCAGTCCTGGGCAATCCTGTCAAATTACAGTTCTGACAGCATTATATGCTAATAATGCCCAGCAACAACCTGCCAATATCATCCTATACCCAGGATTTCTGTCCAGTGTGTGGAGAAGATGGTCTGTCAAAAGGCAATTCATCCTCTGCTAACAGCCATGCTCTCTTTTTCCACTGATCATGCAGGAAGCTTAGGACAAACAGCCAGTTGGCAAAACTGCACCATCCCTTTGATGTTCTCTTCCAAGGCTTGGTCTAGAGCCTGATGAAAGCAAGGGATGTTTCCTTGTTTAATTCCACAGACATTGAATCAAATCCCCAAGCCTGTTCCATCTCTCTTGGGACAGCTTTTGCTGTTGTTACTACGAATGCAGTGTCTGAGAGTAATTTCTACTGCAGTCACACACACAGAGCCCTTCGGATTCAACTGTTCCCTGTTCCTTCTTTTAATTCTCCAAACATACATGCATTCCTTTCTGGATTAGCATGAGTGTGGGCAGCAGCTTTCTGCCTTTTCACTCTGGAGCTGGTTTCAGTCACTTTTCCTCCAATGTAGCTTGCTTTATTATTCCTTTGGACACAGCTGTAGACAAGACTTTGGGAGGACACAGATGCAAGTTGTTCCGATTAGGAAGAAAAACAGGAAACTGCATCTACAGTCTTCCATTGCATTCTTTGTATTTGGCAGGAACATGCAAAGTCCTGATTTCCTGAACACAGGAGGATTAAGATAATCAGAAACAATATTTCCTGGTTTTATCATTATTTGACAGTAGGCTTTTGCAAGCTGCTTCTGCAGAGACTTTATTTCTAAGCTGTATCTCTTCTTTCTTGCACATACACACCCCCTAATTCAACCAGTACCCCGCAAAGTCATGATACCTTTGTTTTGGGTGGCGAAGTGTTGCTTCTCCTATGGTTTGAGGTTCTTGACTCATGTTATTTGAATGAAAGGATGGTTTTAGTCTCAGGGAGCTTCAGCCTGGAGCACAGCAGCCATGGCAGAGTGTGGGGCACAGCATCATGTGAAACGAATGATCATTAAACATTTGCGGGTGATTTTCTACTTCACACTTTAGCTCCATCAATAGTCCAGGATATACCTACAATTTCAGTTCCCTCAGAAATCATCTGAGTTTCCTAAAAGCTGAGTAAACCTCTCAAGTTTCAAACACTGGGTTTTCTAGGAGGGTGTTAGTGGATAGCTCTGTCCGGAAATCCTGCACCTCATGGTTTCATTGGATTCAAGATAAGGCCAAAAAGGAAAAAAACCTAACCGCAGTGATTTTTCTAGGCTTTTGTTTGGAATTGTTCATACATATTTGCATTTGGGACTGGTGGTATTAATTAGATCATCAGAAATTATACCAGAAAGTTTCACCGTCCCTCTGAAACAATATTGCCACACCTCGGACTGATTAGGTATAAACCAGCTGATTTCAGAAAAGATGAGTTTGGCACACGTACAGCGAGCGGCTCCATGCACAAAAGTTGGCCATAACAAGTCAGTTTTTCCTTCATCCTGTGAAATTACACTGGTTCTCCATAATCCCAGCACATAAGTGAAGTTGATGAAAAATACAAACCAACAAACCCTCGAAACTCAAAAAAAACCCCACCCTGTTGTGATCATCTTAAATAAGTCCCTAATCTCTTTTCTCTCTTTCTTCGGGTAAGATGGGGAGTGGACAACCCTTGCTTCTGACATCGCTGACTGCTGCTACTATGCCAAAAATCTCTCCAAGGGGTATATCTACTGCTTCAGGATAGCCTGCTCCAGTAAAGCGGGAATGGGCCCTTACAGCGACCCATCTGCCAAAGTGAAAATCACTGGGAAGGATCAGATGGGTAAGAATCACAGAATCATAGAATCATGGAATGGTTTGGGTTGAAGGGACCTTAAAGACCATACAGTTCCAACCCCTCTGCCATGGGCAGGGACACCTTCCACTAGACCAGGTTGCTCCAAGCCTCATCCAGCCTGGCCTTGGACACTTCCAGGGATGGGGCATCCACAGTTTTTCTGGGCAACCTGTCCCAGTGCCTCCCCACCCTCTGCGGGAAGAACTTCTTCCTGATGTCCAATCTAAACCTCCCCACTTTCAATTTAAACCCATTACCCCTTGTCCTGTCACTACAGGCCCTTGCAAAAAGTCCCCCCCAGCTTCCTTGTAGCCCCTTCAGGCACTGGAAGGCTGCAATGAGGTCTCCAAAGATCAAATGCTGAGAAAGCACGGTGTTCTTCCTGCAGCAAAACAACTGCACCCTTTTGGATGCGGGTCCAGAAGTCAGCAGCAAGTGAAACAAGACCCATTCCACTTGGCTCAGGGTGGTTTAGGCGTTCCTCCTCTTTGGCTTTCTTATTTAAATGTAAATTATTTTCTAATTCTGGACACGGGGGAATATGTGTAAATATATAAAAAATAAATAATAAAACAGTAACAATATGTGAATACAAAGAAGTCATAAATATATCTAACAATATAATAAGAAAATAAAAACCTGGAAACTGTAGATTATCCACTGAAGACACACACAGTTTTTGATGTGAGACCAGGAGGAAACAGGTCTGGGACAGTGAATGTGCTACTGGAGGCGTTGATCTGTTGGTGTAGATATGCCTCTGGTGTAAGCCCTGGACCTTTGTTATAGACCCAGTCCTAAGATCAGGAGTTAATTATGTGTTCCGATGTTTGCTGCTGGGGATTATCACCCGACCGCGGTGCGTTTTTCAGCCGTATTTTGTCTCTGAAGTAAAGGAAGCTCAGTTTAACATGTTTTTCACCCGTTTGAATGATTTGTACTATTCACATGTTTTTAAAATTAAGAAATCCAGAACCCCACAGCAAATATATCCCTGTAGCAAAGGAAGTAACCTTTCTGGCAAGAAGTGGAAGGATGGTCTAATTGGAATTTCCTCCCAGTGGAGAGGATTATTCCATAAAAATCGGTTCACAGAGATATTTTTAACTCACCCTAAGTCCTCTGCTTTCCTCTGGATGCATTAACATATCTCAATGTGCCCAGCAATTCCAAGCAGATGCTTTAATGTGTCACCGAGGATGCATTAACATATCCCAATGTGCCCAGCATTTCCAAGCAGATGCTTTAATGTGTCAAGCGATGCGTTAGTATTCCAGGGAGCGCTTGGACACAGCCACGTGCCAGAACCAGAGCAACAAGTTTCAGCTGCTGCCCTGAAATATCCAGCTAAAAGATGTTTCTGATTCTTTGTCAGTGTCTTACAGTTCCCTAACGACTCGTTATGTGAGAGGATGAGAACCAGAGGCTAAGATGTTTCGTATTGTAGCACACAACATGCAATTCATCTCATACAGTCTGGAGTGGTCACCCAGGGAATTACTGGGTGGACAGTCTGGAATCTGTTGCTTTTAAACAGCATTTGAATGTCACCCAGCCCGCAGCTGGGCAACAACCTGCAGACTTGTCTGGAGAAAGCTCTGGTGTCACCTTTGTCATTGTTCCTAGATGCCGGGGAGTGGCTCAGAGAGGCTCCAGTTCCCAGAAAAACGTGTTTTCCCATGCAATCCCTGTCACTTTTTCTCTGCAGAGCTTCGTGCTGCAATGCACAACTTCCCATCACCTGCCGCTGAAGAAGAGAGCGAAATAATCGCACCGTCCGAGCCTTTCCCAACCTACCAGACCTACGCCTTCCAAACAGAGATCAAAAGGTGAGGAATCCAACTGAGCACTCAGCCAGCCAGGGGGAAATGCCCCACGTGGCTGGTGTTCAGAAAAGTCACTTTTATAAATGCACTGCTCACCTAGTGTCACCGTGTTTTGTTGGAAACGCCTCCACAGCAATACTTCCAAACCTGGGCTCATTGGCTGAGTGATCTTCACCTTGTTGGTGGGATTTGGGTGTGGATTTTCTGGGAGAGCAAAAGAGTCTGTGCTGGTTACCAGGACAGCCCCTTCGTACATTTTGAAGCGAGCCGAGGGCTAACGAAGGCTCCTCTCCTTGCTGCATGAACCTTTGCAGCTGCCAGTTTCACACATGGGGTTGGCATTCAACTTTGCCTAGAAGATAGGCACCAGCCACTGTGGCCAACAGGAGGAGGCAGCTACCTGCAAGGGGTAGCTCGAGACACAATAAGCCACTTTCTCTCTCTCCAGAGGAATCTCTCTCCAGGATTCACTCATAGAATTGTAGAATCACAGAATGGTTTGGGTTGGAAGGGCCCTAAAAGACGATCCAGTTCCAACCCCCCTGCCATGGGCAGGGACACCTTGCACTAGCCCAGGTTGCTCCAAGCCTCATCCAGCCTGGCCTTGAAGACATCCAGGGATGGGGCATCCACAACATCTCTGGGCAACCTGTGCCAGTGCTTCACCACCCTCTCCGTGAAGAACTTCTTCCTGATATCTAATCTAAACCTCCCTGATTTCAATTTGTACCCGTTACCCCTTGTCCTGTCACTACAGGCTCTTGTAAAAAGTCCTCTCCCAGTACCCTTGTAGGCCCCCTTCAGATACTGGAAAGCTGCAATGAGGTCTCCTCGGAGCCTCCTCTTCTCCAGGCTGAACAAGCCCAATTCTTGCCGACTTTCAAGTTGTCATCTACACATTCCAGGAATCTCATGGCTTTCTTGTGCCCTGCTGTGTTGTCCCTCCAACAGATATCGGGGTGGTTGAAGTCCCCCAGGAGGACCAGGGTATGTGAACGTGAGGCTGTTGCTATCTGTCTGTAGAGGGCCTCATGCACTCGCTCATCCTGCCCAGGTGGCCTGTAGCAAACCCCTACTACTGTGTTCCCTCTCCCTGCCCTTCCTTTAAGCTTGACCCATAAGCTCTCGGTCAGCTCCTCATCCATCTCCAGGTGGAGTTCCACACACTCCAGCTGATCCCTGACAAAGAGAGCAACTCCTGCAATTCGAAGTGACTGTACAATTTAGAGACACAGGAGGATGTCCAAACTGTGACAATAGATACAGTAACTCAACTCTGGGCACGGATGAAAAACACAGTGTGGGATCCATGGTTTAAAGAACAGAAGGCCCTGGCTCTTCCAGGAGTAGCAGAGAACATGACTTGCCTTTGTGTTCGCTCCTACCAGGGGGCGTTTCAGCATCGTCCGGCAGTGCAGGGAAAAAGTGAGCGGCAAGACTTTGGCTGCTAAAATTATCCCTTACTGGCAAGAGGACAAGCAGGCTGTGCTCCTCGAGTACCAAGTCCTGAGGAAGCTTCATCACACAAACATAGCTCAGCTGAAGGGAGCCTACGTCAGCCCACGGCACTTAGTGCTGATCCAGGAGATGTGCGTGGGACCGGAGCTACTCCACTCCTTGGCATTACGGTAAGAACGAGCGGAGGGAAGGGTTTTCCAGCCAGGGCTGGTGTAGGGAGCAAAACAACTATTGCTTTCCCCTGACAAACGGGATCGTCTCTCTCCACCTGTTCCAGCGTGCTGTCGTTGTACATGGGATTTGTGATGCGTTTATTCTGCAGCTTCTTGTGACAACAACATTACTGAAGCTTCCTACAAGGTTGGGGCAGGGGGCAGTTCAGGGCCACCCAGTTGAGACGTTGAAAGCAGTTTACGGTAGTTGATATGAAACCCCCTCTCCCATAACAAGGAGATTATTGTGGCTCAGGAAGCCTCATTTCTTCTCCATGTTGTTTCTTACGATGGCAGAAAACGGATTTGCTGAAATCTGCTGATTGAAGGAGAGGGAACGGTGGGCATCAAATCTGCATTTTGATTTCTACGCGCCCAGTGCTTTCTGTGAACCTCCTTCATCTGTAAACCTGACTCATAGTCTGGAGCAGCCTCTCTGTGTACAGTAGATTGGCTAAATTAGTAGAGTTGTTTCTTCCTAACCTTCAGGGCCTCATGGGTTTAGACATCCAGGGGGATAGTGGGTGTAGAATGGTGCCCTTGGCTGTGCTGATAGGACATTTCTGGTTTCTATCCTCTGTCTTCTACCAGGACATCGTACTCAGAAGTGGAAGTCCGAGATTACCTGTGGCAGATCCTCAGCGCCATTGAGTATCTCCACGCACACAACATCCTGCACTTGGATCTCAGATCTGAGAACATGATCATCACCGAGCCCAACCTGCTGAAACTCCTGGATTTTGGCAATGCACAGTTCTACACACAAGACAAAGTTATTACCATGGACAAGTGCACGGACTACGTTGAAACCATGGGTGAGTACAGAATTCGGTCAGAGCAACCTTGACCTTGTGTGCACTCTGTGGTAAACAGAAAGACAGACAGAGCCACTGGGCAAGGCAGCAGTTGCAAAGCAAGCAAGCAGGCAAAGATTCCCAGGTAACAATGTGAGTTTGTGGGAGCAGCCGTCTCACTTGCAGACCATGGAGGACAATGCCAGAGGTCACGGCCAACCCCGCCCCGGCTGGCATCCATGTGTCCAGAGCTCAGGGGTGTAGTATGACTGCCATTCGGCCTGATGTTCCCAAGGTTCCGTTGCAGTCATCACCACGGGGGTGTCTCCCCTCAATCAGCTCTCTGTACTAGAAGTTTCTTCTTCTTCACTCCTGGGAAGTACAAAGTATAAAAGTACTTATGGGTTTGTGCTGGTCGCTGCCTTGGAGGGTTGCTTGGCTGACACCAGTTTGCTTTCCTAGCTCCAGAGCTGCTGACGGAGCAAGGAGCCCTCCCGCAGACTGATATCTGGTCCATTGGAATCACAGCCTTCGTCATGTAAGTCAGCCTGCCTTTCCCTGCCCTTCAGCAGCTTTAAAAGTGCAGTTTCATAGTCATCAACCAGGGGACACGCATTAGCCCAGAGTTAAGCTCCGTTGTGCCCCCTTCTCCTTGGCAATGCCCCAGAAGTGTGTGATGGAGGGTATGGAGCTGGCTGCACCGTGCAAGGATCCCCAGTCCCAGCGATGTCTCCAAGCAGAGCAGGGCTGGTTTACAACACAGCAGCTGACGGTGTTTCTCACTCAGCCTCCTCTGAAAAGCCCCAGCTTACAGAGGAAAATTCAAATTACGCCAAGTGGAAACACAGCCAAAGTCATGAAACCCACAGAACAGTGGCCTTTGGGATTTTGTTTTCCATTATGGCGTTTCTGTGCATCATCCTGACCCTCCTCTGCGTGGGAATTCCTGGAAGAAGGAGCAGTGCCTTTCATAGAATCATAGAATCACGGAATGGTTTGGGTTGGAAGGGACCTTAAAGACCATCCAGTTCCAACCCCCCTGCCATGGGCAGGGACACCTTCCACTAGACCAGGTTGCTCCAAGCCTCATCCAGCCTGGCCTGGAACACTTCCAGGGATGGGGCATCCACAGCTTCTCTGGGCAACCTGTGCCAGTGCCTCACCACCCTCTCCGTGAAGAACTTCTTCCTGATATGTAATCTAAACCTCCCCGCTTTCAATTTAAACCTGTTGCCCCTTGTCCTGTCACTACAGGCCCTTGTAAAAAGTCCCCTTGTAGCCCCTTCAGGTACTGGAAGGCTGCAATAAGGTCTCCCGGGAGTGATCATGCTGATTGCTTCTCTTCTTCTGGGGCAGGTTGAGTGCCAACTACCCCGTCAGCTCTGACGTAGCCTGCGAGTTTCTGAGAATGACCAGGAAGGGGAAAGTGAAGCTGACGCGGTGCTACGCGGGTCTCTCCGGGGGAGCGGTGTCATTTCTCCAGAGCACGCTGTGTGCAAATCCCTGGTAAGACGGTGTCTGCTCTCCCAACTGGACAGTTGGTGCTGATCCTGGCTATTGTCCCTTCTCTCTCTCTATTCGAGGAGCCTCCTCACCCAGCATGGATCCCCACCTGACCTTCTCACCTTTGCCTGTTCTAGGGGAAGGCCGTCAGCCTTGGAGTGCCTTCAGAGCCCATGGCTCCAGGAGACGGGTTTGGACAACAGGCAGCAAGCACTGGTGACCTTCCCCACCACCAAACTGAGGAATTTCCTCACCGAACGGGAAAAGAAAAGGGGCTTGCTGTGTTCCAAGTACGGCCTCATGATTGCACAGTGACGTGGATGCGGCCCCGGATGTGAATTGTCTCCTTCTCCCCTTCTGCATTTAGTGTTTGGTACCAAATAGCCCTGCCAAGTTGCCGTGCATCAGCTGAGCTGGGGTAACTGCTCTCCGTGAATGAGATTTAACATAACTGAGCAAATTGATCCATGTTTCATGCACGGCCACACGGTAAGAACAGAAATATAGGCCTAACATGGCTCAGCTGACTAACGGTAACTTGACAGTATGTGTGTCACTCGGCTGCACGCTTCCTGGAATAACCCGGGGAGATTTGCATAGCCATTTCTGAATGGGACTAGCGACCAGCCCCAGGCAGCTTTGCAAATCCTTCGCCGAGGTCAGGAAGACTCGGTGCGTGCAAACACTGGGCGCTGACTTCTGCCCCTGGCCACAGGATGTGACAGCCAGACGTGCTTTCCGATGTTCCTGCACTGCTCATCCCACAGTGACAGCGAGGTCTGAGCAACTGGGGGCTTTCTCACCTGCCTCCAATCCGAAGAATTCGATAACCAGTTACGATGGGAAAACAGGGAAGAGTGACGCACTTTTGGGGGGCTGACATTAGACAATATATCTTCAGGCTCTGGATGTAGAGATCCAACTGGATAAAGCCCTGAGCAACCTGGTCTGAGACCATAGCCGACCCTGCCTTGAGCAGAAGGTTGGTCTAGAGACCTCCTGAGCTCTGTCCCATCCTGACTTGTCCTGTGATCCTATGGCTTTGCCAAAGGCCAGACAGAAGGCTGGAGTGGTGGGACCCTGCCAGCACCCATCGGCAGCCAGACTCGGCATGTCGCTCACCCAGGCGAGTTCTCCACCACCCCCATGGAGCCTGACCTGAGGTTAAACGTGGGGCTAGAGGAGAGCTCTTCTAGCTGTGGAGCAACAAGGGGGTGCAAAGGGGGGAGGTATATGCGTTACGTGAGTGACAGTGGTACCACCGAGGAGATTTTAAGCAGGGTTTTTCATAGTCTTTGAGGAAACAATTTCCTGCCCATGAAAGCAGCCTTGTAGCTCCACCCTGTAGCACAAGGGGCGTGCAGGGAGGGCAACAGCAAAAGGGTTTTCCGGTAAGAGATAAATCGCACCTCTTCCTCATACGACTTCTGCAAGCAGCCATAGCTTGTTTGGCTTTGGGAAGAGCTACTGTTCCCCCTGGGGCCCAAGCTGACCCTCCGTTTGCCACCCCACTTGGGCGGCCCAAGGCCTGCTCCCTTAGAGCCCAGCCTGCTGCTCCGTGAGCTGGGCGGCTCCGTGGGGGTCACCAGCCCCCCGTGGGCACCTGCCCGGCTCTGTCGGCAGAGCTGACCGAGCTCCTCAATGGTTTCAAGCTTTGAAAACACTGCAAAACTTGGGTTTGGGGGCTTGAATTTGAAGTCTTTCGTTAGACCTAGATGACAGACTTACCCATCACGCAGGGTCTTGCAGTAAACCCTCACCTGCCTGACTGCATCTGCATGAATTGTCTTAAAAACATGTTAAAGACATATAGAAACACCCCTTGAAGGAGCCAAACTGTACCCTGGTGTATGGGCATCTCTGGGAAGGGTGTTCCCTGTGGCCAGGATGCCGACACACGGAGCATTTCATTGTCCAGCTTTCCTCCCAGGCAGGGCTGACTTGGGCTCGTGCGGAACGCCGTGCTGAGCACGAAGCTGCCGGGGGTGCATGGTGCCTTGCAGCCTTCCTTGGCTGCCCATCAAAAACGCTCCTTCACCCTGCCTGGCTTCGCCGTGTTTGGATCAGTGCATCCTGCCTGCCACGGGGCGTCCCGGCGCGTGCTGGGAGTTGCTGGGAATTGCTGGGCCGCCGGGCAGTAAAGGCAGGAGGCGCAGTAGTGACCATGACCTGGTTACGTACCGCTGTTGTGTCACGAGAGACCTGGACGCTCTGAGGCTGGGGAGCGCACGGGCACACCTCCCAGGAGGGGCGGCAGCAGCATCACCGGCGAATGCGGCGGGGTTTAACTCGGAAAAAAAATCCCGAACATTCGTTTTCCTCCTTCAAATTCTGCTTTGCTTCGCAGTGGGTGGTGTCAGCCGTGTCACTGCTTTGTACTTATAACCACAGTGTCGCTCTGAGTGTCGCTGAGGTGAGTGACGTGCCGCTCCGTTTCTTCCGTTTTCCGTACAAGCAGCAGTCAGCGAGGGCTTTCTTGGAGCTGTACCTGGCTGTTTTGAGGAAGGAGGGTGGGAAACCAGTTTCCAACACATCACACTTCTGCACTAGAAGTGATGCTGTTTAACCAGGGGTGGTCTGTTCCATCGTGTTTAACCCGTATGGTTCCACGTGAAGTGTGCAGCCTCACGACTCCGTCCCCCTGCACGCTGTTCGGTGTAATGGGAACTGGGGGAGGGGTTTCCCCCTGCTGCTGCAGGGGGCAGCCGCTGACCCAACAGGCTGCCCGGCTTGGAATGTCAAAGGGATGGTGTCTTCACTGTGCACCACAGAAGGGAAAACCAGGTGTTTAGGGCCAGACTCCACGCTCAGCTCTCTTGGGAGATAGAGGAGTTACATGAGACAGACACTGCCATCCAGTCTGCCCCCCAGTACACTTTTAGAAACCCTGGATTCCTTCCTGTTTAACTTCTTTTACAAATCCAGTAAGGGTGTTGTTGGCACAGGCGTGTTCTTACTGCTGCTGGTACACACTGGGATGGAAAGCTCAGTACCAAGGGAAAACCCACCTAAATATAAAACTTAATTGCAGATTAACTTTTTTTTGCTTCTCACAACTGCATGCACTTGAGCATGTCTGGTCTTCTGTAGACTCAATGCTGGTTGGTTAAATAAACCACTCTGACAAGGAAGTAAAGCCAGGTTTTTCTGCTGAATCATTGTCATCACTGTCACTACTGTTATACACCTTTCCCAATCCCAGCCCATGTTTGTGCAGCACCCACCCCTCAGCTCGGAGCCGGGGTCCCTACAAGTGATAACCACAAACACACTGAACAGTGAACAACTGTCATGAAAACCATCCACACAAAAAAATCCTCTTGCTAGAGCCCTGGAGTGAGGACATCGCTTGGCCAGGATGTCACCTTAGTTCTGATCTGCCCAACTATCCCAAGGCTTTCCTGGGTGTGGTTTAGAGTTTGCAAAAAATCAAATTATAAGCCAGAACGTGGGAAGAGCTCTGGCTCTTGGTAGCAGAGCAAAGAAAAGAGCCTATGGGTGACAAAAAAAAGGGATGACAGGTGTAGAGGGAATGTGGAAGTCATTAAAAGGTGCTGGATGTGTTAATGGGAGTATTAACTGTCCCAGTGAAGCCTTGTGCAGTTACAGGTAGTTTGTTTTCCTTGGCTCTGTCACAGCTGCTTGACAGTTTCTGCCTGAATTTCCACTACTGCAAGGCCTGGGCTAATGCCCAATCTGGTAATACGGGATAGTTTGCCCTCGACATGCAGTTTCAACATAACCCTGTCCTCTGCAGAACAAAGCAGAATCTGGCTTTGATGTCTGGACACAGGTGAAAATGTTTGAGTTTCATGCATAAAGTCCAAGGTTAGCATCAGCATTAAAATCAATCCACTGTCCTCTGCACAGGTAAGGCTGTGACTTAACTTCTGTAAGGATTGGTGATGTCAGAGCTCTAATTATCAAAGGAAAAAAGCAAAGCAGAGCTCAGAAAGAAAAGTTTTATCCTGCATCACATCCAGTGGTTATTAGTGATGTTTGCAACTCCCTTTTCCTCCCACTGATATGGTAAATGAGATGGGCAAGATCTCGCCTTTCCTTAAACATGAACTGGGAAGGAGCTGTCGGTGTGTCCTTGCTCAGAACAACCCACCTCTGCTCCCTTTGGGGATCTCGTCGGGCACAAGAGGGAGACTGTAGACAGGGCAAATTGGAAACCCTGAGGAAATCCTTACGTCTGTGGAGAGGATGTTTGTTGTTCTCTGACTTTCCAGGGGTTTACTACAAGCTGAGGCCGTCCTGCCAGTGATGCTTCACGCAGGAGCTGTGTCATTACGGAGCTGATAATGGAATAACGCAGTCCCAGTGCAGGTGTGCAGCCAGCCTCAGGCCCAGGCCCCCTGGCCGCTTCACCTCTTTGCCGGCTCATCTGGCCTGATCTTCGCTTGCACACCAAGTCACGCACTCGTGCCAGCTGCCAGCACCATGGGGCCTCCGACTCATGGCCTTGAATTTAAGGAAAGGAATTTAATAAGACAGTCGGACAGACTGTGTTGATCAGGCACAAGGTGTGACCAGACAAGTGTATGGACCAGCTGCCTGTTTACAAACAACCAGCCCTTTTTTATCCCACTGCCCCTCTATTTTCCTCTCTAAATCCCTCCTTTTTCCCATCTTTGGTTCCTCCCCTAAACATTCCTGCATAATAATCCTAAAATGCTCTTCCCCTGCACCCCATAAGATGTCACCCGGCCTTGGCAGCAATCCCTCTTAATCCAAATGGTGATCCAGAGAGCTGCTCCCAAAGACACGCCTTGCTGGGTCTCGCACCAGGACTGTGGGGCTGATGGCTCTGCTAGGACAGCCCTGGGAGGGACACAAACAAGTTGCTTGTTCCTCGGCAGTCCTTAATTTGGGTTCTTGCCTGCCAGTACATCCCTGGGCTCCTCTGGGCTTGTGCAGGCGAGCTTTCGATGGGCTGATGGGACTGGGAGTAGCTTGGCAGGGTGTTATTTGGGGTCCTCACCCTGACGTTGTCTCTCCCTCTGCTCCGTTGTGGGTGTGCAGGCGAGCTGTTATCACATGACCTAACAACGCGGGAGACACAGAGCAGGAGGCAAAGAGAAAAGCCGAGATAACTTAAGCAAACAAGGTCCTATCTGCGTTGGCGCTGCATGGATCTCGTAGCCACAGGATCATACAATTTATTTCACAGCTAACACCAGAACAAACAACACAACCGGGACTTGCCAAATCAAAAGCGCAGCCGGTACCTGAACCGAACATCACGAACTGGCTGCATCGTCCCAAATCCCCAGCGGCTGCTGTCTATCGCTGGGATCTCCTCTTCTCTG